AAAGCAAAGCACCCCAGTACAGGTGAGCTCTCTTACCTCATCTAACCTATATCCAACCCTATCCTCCTCTTTAGCTGTCTAAGAATTATCAGGAATGTCTTCTGATTTCTGGCTCATTTGGTTCATCTTCACATGTTTGTAGGGACCACGTCTAATAGCTTTCTGCCTCCTGTGTCACTTCCGGTACTGATTTTAACAAGGAGTGAGCAGTCGGGTAGGTGTCATTACGAATAAAGGCACCACTGTAACTTCAGAGCTGAAAACTCCCAAGTGTAATCACTCTATCCTCAGACTGGGCTTTCCTCACTTCTTTCCTAGGCAGATGGACGAGTCTCCACTTTTTCATGAGCTTCACTGGTTCTTTCAATATCATCAACCCTCTCTTTTTCTTCTTCTTTTTCTTTTTTTTTCCCCCCGACAAGATGAGCGTAGGCAGCGACTCAATTTAGACGTGAATGCTACCTAGGTCATGCTTTACTCATGTCAGTCTGCTGCCCTGAATATTTCTTTCCTACTCATCCTTTATCACACGAAAGAACAGCATCTATCAATGGAGATCTTTCTTTTCCATCATGCCTCCTATTTTTCACAATTATTAGTACCAAGTTTGGAAAGAGAAACATCTGCTACTGAGCTTATAAAGTCATAGACAAACGTACCTTCAGAATTCGCTCCATAGCTGTACTTATATTACAGTCTCCATTCCTCACCCCATTCATTATATATCAAGAATAGTGTTTTCTTTGAAGAATACATTATGGAAGAATGGTTCCAGATAGTATTTTATTATTACGCCAATCACACCACAAAAGGCATGTCCAGAGCAGGCTCTTTCACTTACCCACAGGATCAAAATGATTAAACAAGTGCTCAAACGTGCAGCAGACGTCAGGATATAGATACAACAGATGGGTGATGGTGGCACGTCTGTGAGTGGGATAGGGGCTCCCTGTGACATTCACGTCCTTGACAACCAGCCTCCTTCTGTATAAGCCCATGGTGCTGGTTCTCTCAGATGAGGTGTCTTTGCTTTTCTCAGAACTGCACAATTTCCCCAGACACTTTAAGCCAAGGAAGGAAGGCATCTTCGCAAGGATCATAGAGAAATGAGAAATGGACACTGGAATCCCAAGCAGCTTGCTTTCCCCACAACTCTTCCGGTTCCTTATTATTATTATTTTCTTCTCACTGCCCAGCTAAGAGGATTAAGGAAGATGTATTTAAGTGATTACCCTCAAGAGCTTAGGGCTCCATATACGTAAATGATCAGGTATAAAAAACAGCTGCTACTGGGAACTCAAGACTATGCCAGCCTGAGACACGAATGCATATTCAAAAATCAGATTAATATCCAGAGCAAGAGAAAGGACACAACTGTAATACCTAAAGGAATTCACCTGCAATATGCCTAGTAGATCTGATATCATCTGTTATATATACACATATTGTATATAATCTAAAAACACAAATCAGAAAAAACTCAATAGTAATTCCAAGTTCTCATAGAGGGGAGACCTCAGTTAAAGTTCTTCAGCTTCAACTAGCAACAATCCAGCTCCAGGCCACAGCAGGCAATCTTTCCATTTTCTAGAAGGAAACCCCTGCCCTTAGTGCCATGAAAATCTTTCTGCCTCATTCCATTAATCTGATGCTAATGATATTCTTTATGTTGTTTCATGAGTTTTCTGCCTAATGCAGAATCTCTAGCAGAATCACATGATGGAAAGAGAATTACTGTGTAGGTAGCTGCGTGTTTTCACCAAGTTACAAGCTAGCAGGACTCACGTGCAATTAGGGTGCTGGCATACAAAAGACAAACCTGGTAATGAGCATTTACCCTCTGACAACTACTCAGTAAGGTGAAGCACAAAGTCTATAGCCACACAATAGTCACAAGTCAGCGTGAATAAACCCACACTCTTTTGCCTGTCATTTGGCTTTTATATTCTAATACAATTTTCTTCTCATTAAAACCCTTGCATACTTTAAACCGAATAGAATTATAGAGCTGGAAAGGACTTCAAAGATAACCTGATCCAGCAGTTCCCAAATACCACTGCACATAAGAATCTTCTGCAGAGCTTTAGAAAAATACAAAATCTGGGGCACTGGCCCAGACCTCCAAATGAGATGCTTTGAACCCAGCAACTTATAGTTCTCGAAGCTCCCCAGGCCGGGACCAACAGTCAGGAAGTACAGATCTACTCCAGTCCTTTAACTTTAACTCAGAAAAGCTAAGCAACTTTCCCATGATGACACATCAAGCCCATGGTGGAGCCAGGTCTCCTGAGTCCTAAGCTATGACTGTTCCTATCACAGTCATCAGTCAGGGGCTTCCACAAAAGCTGTAGACAGATGAAGGAGAGAAAGGACATCCTTACTTCCACTGTTACTAGCTCCAAATCATTAATGCAACATTCAGCAGCACAGTTCAAGAACCAGAGCATCCAAATGTTCTAGAATGATCCTAGCCCAATGGGAAGCACAGTGAGAATGGAGGGACAGACTCTGTCCCAGAGGCATTCAGACTTGGGTGGAACTTGGGAGAGTGGACATATGGGAGCTATCTGCTACCTCACTCACATGGTAAAATTCCTGTTCTCAAATTTTGAGAATTAAGCCCCCAGAATAAAATCCTTCCAACATCTTCCTCTAAAAACAGTTTACAAAGCAGGAAAAAACACTCTGTAGGTGTCCTACTTCTTACTGGCCTATTTCAAAGGGCCTTAACATACAGGGTGGAAGATATCTTATTGATGTTTCCCAAAGTGTGGTTCCTGGACCAATTTGTTTAAACACAGATAGATGCCTGAGGCCCGTCTCAGACCCATGCTGTAGTGTGGGAGCCTCTGTTCTATACCATTAATTCCTTCTTCCTGTGATTAGTCTCCTAAAGCTCTGCTCTGTGCAAACTGCGACCATGAGCAGCTCTATCTGCTTATGTGTTCACCTGGCTTGTTCGTGAAACACATCTATGTTTATATAGAAAAGCTGGATGCAGACACTTAAACACAGGCTCTGATACGCACTAAACACACAGAATTTAGACAGTTAAGGTCATCATTTTCTTCAAATCCAGCATCTCCTGAACAAGAAACCAGTGTTACTATACCATGACCATCCGTCTGCCTTCTTGGTCCCTAAGCTTGTCAGGCATTACCCACTAAAATGAATTCTATAGCATTGGCTCTACCTCAACGCTTAGCTGTGGTATCAGCAGAAAATATTCAGGTCGCCCCTAAATTTCTTGACAAGTTTATAAATCCATATATTTAGTTCAAGAAGCAATTGTGTTCTGATAGACTGTAAAAGGAAAAACATTAAATTCTTCTTCCATAAAATAATTCTATCTAAGAAGTTTAACATAGTTTATGAATTTTAGGTCAGGATAAGCGTACACTAAATGCGGACCATAAAGAAGGCTGATGAGATAACAGAAGTTCGTTTGCTTTTAAAGACAATCTGAATCCATGTGGATGTGAGGGGCTGACTCCGCTCTCGGGGGGCGTGGAAAGAGCTAAGGGTTCAGATGCCGGGTGCTTGGGGTGGGGGGTGAAGCCAGCAGTGAAGATGGGCACCCATGAACTAAGTTCCACTTTGAGGGTGCCAAGAATTCTTAACCTAACTCTTCCACATAGTACAGGGTAACCACCCAGCAGAGGCCAAGCCTCCAATCTGAGAAATGTACTTTCAATAGTACCTGCCTGACAGTAAGCTCTTCAGCCATGAAAGCACAGTTTGGAGACAATCCCTAAGGAAGCACCAGTGGACCCATTTCTTCTACTGCTGTGTGAACCTCAGCCTTTTGCCACAGCCCACATGAAAGTACAGTCACAGCACTTACAAAGGAGGGCAGTAGTTTTTGTGACAGATTACATGGTTATAAAAGGTATCACAGCTCACGACACTACAAAGCCAATGACAATTACAAATGCTTAACTTTCACCCAGGGTTTTGCTGGCCTGTATATTTGATCAGATACGACGTTCCAAATTCTGCTAGTTCCACTGCACCCAAACAAGCTCTTCTTCTGTGAGAAACTATGACAGGAAACAGTCAGTGGGCGAATTCCCCAGAGGACTTCCACCCGCATGGAGAGGCCCTGAGCACTCTGCCTTTGCATCCTGCAGGAGCTCAATAATGCAATGAACCCCAGCCTCAGAACCAGGCATTTTGGGGGCTACCCAGTGCTCATCGGATGCCTCAAATCTGCTCTTAATTCTCCAGTCACAGGTCCATCCCCACAGCAATTCTCCACAAATGAACTCGGACTTTAATTTTATTCTATGTAATGATTTACGTCTTTTTTTTGTTTGTTTTTTAGACAAATGTTCCCTCTCTCCACCACCCCCACTTTAAATCATCTGCTAAAATCTTCGTGCTTCGCTAAGGAAAAAAAATATTAAGAGAGAAAATCAACACCTTTAAATTGCAAATCTTTACAGGATTTAGTTTTCGAAGGAAATGATCTGAATTGACCGCCTGTGGCTTCATCAGTGAGAATGGGGTTGCTTGCTTTTCAGTTTTTCTTTTAATCAGAAATGAGCAAAGAGCCCAGCAGCCCACGGACCACCACCCCTGCAGCTCACAATACGCAGGACGGTCTTGGCTGCTGAGCAGAGCAGGTTAAGCAGAGAAACAGCAGGTTTTTACGTGGGAGGGCTCAGAGGACAGGGTGTGATGGAATTCCCAGACCGCAATGCCTGGGCCCATTGGAGGTTCTCCCACCACAGCAGTGACACCTGCTCCCTGCCGCCAGCAAGTCTTAAGTTTAGTCCTTCTCTTCGTTGGCACCATCCACCCGGGGCATCTCCTCTGCAAAGCCCAATGCTTACGGGGTCTTACCTATCCCTCCAAAGCAGGCTGTGATTTTCTGAGCATACTGGCATAGGCTCCCATCTGGGTAGGTTTCCTCTGGAAGGCCAACTTCATCCATCTCTCTGCAAGCAGCTGCCTCTTCCCGTAATGCCACCCGCCCAAGACCTGCTCAAAAGGGAACAAGCAGCCAAGCCCCCTCTTCCATATCGTCTCCATTAATAATTCAGATACTACATAAAATCTGCTGAGCTTTCAGGACAGAGAGCACCAACGCACTCTGAGGACCGAAGCCTAATTAGTTTAACAGACAGCGAGGGTCTCAGATTACTCTCTGACAATACTCTCCGTAGGCAAGATTTCCAAATGGCAATGGGAACCACCCTTGGAATGCCTTCAAGGAAGCAGCCACAGACAGAATCAACTGGGGGGGTGGGGGTGGTCACAGGCATCCCCCTCGCTCAGACCCCATACGTTAGACAAGGCTGCACCGCGAATCTGTTCCATTGTATCCAAGCACTGTTACTGACTACATATCACAACCCACCCGGCTGCTGAAGCTTCTCTGTGTCCTGAACACACCCCGTACTTCCCAACCCTCATCCTTCCTGGTTTCTTTCTCTTTTCCTAAAATTCCTCCCCCTTCTCCCATCTGATCCCTCCGAAAATCCACCTGTGCTTTAAAATGCCAACCAACTCTTATTTCTTCCATCAAAGCTACCAGAATCACTCCCGCTAGAACCCATTCCTCCCTTCTTGTCCCCACGCAGCAGCTCTACCATGGCATTTACTATATCCTGCCTTGTAATCTGGTTACCTGGAGACTGTCTTATTTCCCCTGCTAGCTGGGAAGCTTCTAGAGAGCAGCGTCTTGCCTTTGTCACCCTGCTTCCTTCACACAGGACTCTACATATGCTCGGTGCTCAATGCCTTGTAAGGAGAATTGGACAACTTTCGATTTCACACTGTGTACTGTGAGTATCCAATATTTGGACCAAACTCTGCTATCACAGACAAAACACCCTTTTGTCACTAGTAACTGCTTTCATAGGAGAGGACAATGTACACAGTCTATACCAGTGGGTCTGAGAACTAGTCCCACACGTGGCAGCTATAGGATGTAATTATCCTCCTGCTGATCAGAGCTGAACTGGAAAGCACGCTGTCACAGGCACATGCCTGAGAGGCCCAGGCCAGCTGTGGCCATAGGAAGCTGTCCCAGTGGTTGGTCATTAGGGGACGGGCCGTCCTTGCTGCTGGGATAAATTAGCTGAGTGTGGACCCGGAAACCCCGGCGTCAGCACTTCTCCCACCTCTGCT